ATAATAATTTATTATCTGGCAACCATTTCAGTCTTGAAATTAAATATTTTCTCTTCCTCATTTACAGAAATAGCAAGCTCACTGTATCTTCAATCAATGTTTCACAGGTAATAGTCTCAGTCAACTTCATACATATCCTGATCAGAATATTTCCTTCGTTTAAATGCTGCTTACTAGTTGAATTTTAGTGATTGGTTCACTTCTTATACAACACTTGTGAATAATACTGTTTCAGTGAAAGTTTAGGTAGAGTAGACAAAGTAGGTTTGAGAACTTAAATCAAATGCAACTACCTGGTAAATGAAAAAAGGGGGTGATATTTTATAATGAGGCTTCCTTCAAGTGTGAAAAAGACCTCAGTCTTAAAGCCGAAACGTCGTCCCGTTTTCATGTAAGAGGCTGTTGCAGTCCATTAAACCTCTCAAGTCTACTCATGAATGATTCTACACAGTGTACCATATACATATACTTCCACAGTACACATCCTCACTTACATTAAAGCTTAGACGGGTTTCCTTTGGCACTGGGTGCTGCTTCCATCATAACCAACTTGAGCAACTCTCGTAAATAGACACTGATAGTTACAGTGTTGCAACATGTCGCCATCTGTGAGAAGTGACACCCAACTTGTTTTCAGGCATTATAATAACCCAGAATTCAGCTGAATTTAGACTTTTAGTTAAAATTCTCCTATGCAGAATTACTTTTTACACTGTTGCTACCTTATATATCAATTAAATTATCATACCAACATAAACTAGATTCAGTAAATACATTTACTGTCATAGACAGCTGCCAACTAACTTATGATTTTGCCAATCACAAATCAATCCACTCATTAACTCTTTAATCCCATAATTGTTTTTGTGTGTTCTGCCTGAAATATTTTCATGATGTCCTAATAATTATCACCAAACCTTATGAAATTTCCGGTCTATTTATAAAAGGTGGATATTAACATGGTTTCGATTAATTTTTAGCCAAAGAGACATAAATGTTATCGGATGCTATCACCGTTCGATAGGTAAATAGGAATTTTCGGCCGGGCACTGTGAGCGTCCGCTCGGATTTAAGGAGTTAGATTTAGTGCCGCAGAAAGATAAATACAGAAACATCTAATGAAATAAGACATATTCCATTCATATTCACTATAACCTGATTGACATTCTGCATGACTGAGAGAACAATACTTATCAGCCATAATTGTAGAGATTATACATATCCAAATGTACTGAAGGACTCGAACAAGCACTTCACAGGTTGAGAACTTACATCACTTAGATTGAAAGGTTCTCAATAGTTCAGAAAGTAATGATCATAAGACTCTTTTAGCTGAGTTTTGAAATCTTAGCCAACACTTCCAGTTTTGCAAATTCATGATGTTCTAAGTATTATATCTACCAATTCCAGCTGTCATAATTCTGCAGTAATAGAACAGCTATCAGCTGATATCCTGTGGATATTGCATTTGACACTGCTCAATAGCTTAGAAGGTAGGGGCTACAAAGCCCTTTTGGTCCCATCAATCTTACAATCTTACAGATACCAACTCTTTTAATCTATTGGCAATTATATAATAGATAGAAATGTAATCCATATAGTTTGTCAGAAGTATCACCCGATAGCTCCGAAAACCCTTTCATTCATTGCTTTCTTGATTAATTGACTGTTCTAGCTATAGAAAATCAAGTGGAAATCACACAGTGATGTGCATACATTGTATGGTGAACATCATTTGATTGGTCGAAAAGCAAGGATTTCTACTTACTTTCAGTCAGTGAACTTGCAGTCAGCGACTGTCCTAACTGATGCTCTTGCAGTCATCCCCAGCCATAGTGATCATTGGCATTTTGTTTGACCACTAGAGCTCTCTGGCACATCTTCAGTTGCCCTCATCTGGCTCATTTATGCATAGCCAGATATGTATTTTCTGTTTTTTTCCTCCTCATACGCTGAGCTAATGTGATACATTTTATTATTGTCGTCACCCTCCAATTCGTCAATCTCAACATCTGACTCTTGGACGATCCAGTGCTCAAAAGGAGCATCACAAAGATATAATTGCAGACTTTCAACCTGTTCCATGAATTTACATATGCCACATGACTACTGTATTTCATAGATCAATCGACCTATCTGTTGTAGTGTCAAGTATGAACCTGCTCAGCCAGGACCAGTGGCTTCCATGTTGCTATAACATACCAAAGCCAAAGGCAATCCCAATGCTTGAATTGGCACTCTTTGACTGTTTTGTCAGAGCACTTTTTGTTGTTGTATGGGAACTTACCCAATTGCTGATGTTCAAGCCCACGCACATTGGGTAACAAAGTTTGAAAACATTTCACGTATTCCTGTGGATACTGTGGCCCCATTGCATTGTGGTGGTCCACATTTCAAGTCTACAGAAGGCAGTACTTCTCTACCAAACATAAGTACTGTTGGTAAACAATTAGTCAAACTCTGTTTTTTTTGCACATCCCACCATTATGATGTAAAGCGAGTGTTTGTCCCAATCAGTTTGACCAGAATTAACAAACTTGATATTTTGTATCACCTAGTTAGCTTCAGACACCTTTGCTTCGTTTGCCACTCTAATGACCATTCCCGAAGAGAACTGGATAGCTAATTGCCTACAATTCTAGACCATCATTTGGAGTGCATCCACAACTGGCTCTACAACTATATCACACAGTTCCACCACACTTGAGGTTGTCAATGGTAAAGCACAGAGGACGACCTGCATGCACAGATATCTTTGTGACTCCCTCCTCAATGTACACTCATGATGTCCAATGGCTTTAAGTCTATTCTGACTGCCATTAGATAGTTTTTCCATGAAGCTTAGTTGTCCTGTTACACAGGCAAAACTGGCAGACAGCTTCTGCAGCATGTCCTCTCCCATAATTCCTGTGCCAGGACCTGGGTAAGCAATGAATACCTTTATCCTGTGGTTTACACAAGCTAGATGTATTCTGAGACATGATTCTCCAGTTTCATCTAGCCTACTATCATTTGACATGGTGAAATCAATGTTAACTAGCCACAGTGTTGGCTTCACTTGGAGTGCCTAAAATGTGGTGATGTCTATTAAAATCGTGGTCACTCCTATATTAAACAGGAACGTCATCTTTTGTCCTTATATTTTGATAGCCAAGTGCTAAAATCAACTATATCTTGTGGTGCAAGCTGCCTGCTGTACCTTTCTGAAGCAGTATCCAATCTTAACTGTGGCTCTATTAGATGTTTGGAGTGGAAATGGCAACAGCTACAGTTTATTGCTGGTTTTCCTGCATCTCTGTGCAGTTTGATAAAGTTGGTTTCTTTGCCTTTATTTATCAATGGCAAGATCTGGACACTTCTCCCTAAACTGACCTTTCTAACTCACCCAGAGACCGACATTGGTCATAGCAATGGATGTCAGTCAGAAAGGACTGACTGCTTAAGGAGAAACCATGCACAGAGATGGAATCTAGTGTTTAACTAGTCAGCAGCAAAAACTGGGCAATCCAGTTCATTCACAGTAGAATATGAAGCATATGATGATAAACATGTCTAGTTAAACAATAAAAGCGAAGGTCATGACAGGATCATACTCCTGGCAAAGTATCTAACCCTCATCACAAAATTAGAGACAGGTTCTATCTCAAGAAGATGGGTAAAACCTTTAAGATACTTTAAAGCTCTTCTGATAACTATCTACATTCCAGGTCACATTTGCATATCATTCAGTAAGAAAGTGTATCAGCTAGCTGGTAAGGCACAGCCCTTCTTGTAAGATCTCTGAATAACATCATAATTAGAATATTATGTAGACTGAGGGAGCAGGAACACATGGAAGAAAGTTTTATAAAAGTCAAGTGAAAGACTAGAGGAAAAAGGTTGAAAGTATGGAAGTGGAGGATTGTTTGTTTGTTTCGAATTTCGCGCAAAGCTACACGAGGGCTATCTGCGCTCGCCGTTTCTAATTTAGCAGTGTAAAACTAGAGGGAAGGCAGCTAGTCATCACCACCTCTTGGGCTACTCTTTTATCAACGAATAGTGGGATTGACCGTCACATAATAACGCTCCCACAGCGGAAAGGGCGAGCATGTTTGGTGTGATAGAGATTCGAACCCGCGACACGCAGATTGCGAGTCGAGCGCCCTAACCATCCGGCTATGCCGGGCCAGAAGTGGAGAAAGCATGAAGGTATGTAAAGAGTAAAGATGCTACCTACATCAAATTGAATTGGGAATTATTACTAGAAGACACCT